GGAGCTCTTCTTATTACCCATACTCAATTCTAAATCTTCTATTCCCTCATCCCCCGCTACTTCTGAAGGCCGAGCAGGGTTTTGGTTTCTCGTCAGCCCACTGCATCTGCTTGACTTGTTCTAGTGGTTCTTGCTTTGGCTTTTCCTCAGAATCCCCACACCGAACGCTAGATGTTGATGAGCATAAGTAGGCGTGAACCCTCTGGTAACCTGCAACCAAGTGCAAGGCCTGATTGATGGTTAGGATCCGATCAGCTATCAGCTCCTCCGATGAGCAAGTCAGCCTTTGGTGATATAATAATATGTATGGGGAATTGCATCGTACGGGTCTTTTATCTTACATTAAATTTTACTGCATGTGTATATGTATACAGGTGAAATAAATCTCCGAATTCCCTTTCATACAAGCCCAATAAGAAAAGAGTCACGAAGAGGTACATGAACTTGCCTTTTTTTCTCGATGATGCCATGCCCGTATTGAATGCACTCAAGCTGCACATAATTGGACTTCAACTTATAGCATGATGACTGTCATATTGAAGAATAATGGGCCGTGTTATAGGCACGCTCGTCATCGGATATCTTACGAATCGGCAGGATGTGAAAAAAGCTACCTCGTCCTTCGATATCTGTGTTTTACTTAGACCAAGCCTAGGATATAGCTAGCATTAAAGTAATTAAACTCGGTTTGTTATATAATCCTGTCCAAAATTCAGGGATTAAGGGTTAGACAGGTTGATTGAGGTTAATGCGTTTCAAATGATATTGATTTGAATATTTTTAAGAAAAAAAAGTTAAATAAAGATTAATCGGTTGATTTCCATTTTTTTTTTGAAGTCGGAACTTGAGTCGATAAGCTGATTTTAATAACATCGGCTATCATATTTCCCATGTGAGTAGAGGTGTGCTCTGGTTAACAGGCAGAAGACGGAAAATTTTTCGCTCACGGAAGGTAAAGACACGCGTTACAGGACAGCCTGCTTCAATTGGTAATGAGTGCCTTTGCTTAGTATAAATAAGCCAATTAGACCTACCATAATTGAAGAATATGCATATTTAATTAAGAAGCAATCATCCATTCTTTGATATCACTATGGTCTTGTAATTCCTCATCATTTTTTTTAGTAATTTACGTTGACTATAAATTAATTAATCATTGCCAACACTAGGTTATTAAATCCAAAACATATACCTAATTAAACATGATTACTTAATTAAAACCTGAAATTGATCGAAAATTCCTTTCATTATTTAATTACAAGACAATAAACTCCTATTTGCATTCTCAAGAATAAAATAAAATAAAAAACCATAAACTCCTATTCGAGTATTAATTAATTAATAACGACTTAACATAACTACTTAATGATATATTTGTAATTATCAAGAATTAATTTTTAATAAACAACATTTTAGCAAATTAAGTAACTAATAACAAAAACAATTGTATCAACCAAGATCAGGTTCCTGAAACATTAATCTATAAGGAATCATATATGATGTATTCTTAAAGTAACCCAAAATGAATTAACGGTATCAACTAACTCCGTTGACTAAGAAAGGCGCGAAGGAGTTCATGATTTTAAAGTTCCTACATATTTTTAATGCTTTATATATATATATATATATCTTCTTTCATCCATTTTCATGTTTTTGCTTTGCTTCTAGAAAATAATTAGCGGGATTGGATGTTAATTAATTTACATCTAATTCATTTGAAACAAAATATGGGAGAGAAAGTGCTCGTGGTTTTTACTATTTTAAATTTTTTTGAAATTTAAGTACCATGACAATTTTGAGTTCCACAACACAAGAACTACTCTTTCTTGACCCGCATAATTCCATTATCCATTTTTTTTTTAAAAAAAAAAACCCCACCACCTAAGGGTGTTTGGGAAAAATAAAGGGGAAACTAAACACATGCCACACTGCGCTAGGCAACGACAACATAACCTGCAAAAGGTTAACAATAACAACAGCAGCAGGCGAGTCTACTAAGAAAAAAAAGTTAAACACCGACCATGAAAAAACAAGAACACAGAAAACAACTAACGCCTATTCAATAGTGCCAGTGGTCTCTTCCTCCTCCATGATCTCTTCCTCCTCTTCAATGTCAGAGCTCTCATCATCGGAAACCACAAGGGTTAGTCTCAAACGCCCACCTGCGCGGTTAGCACGCAAAATATCTCCTTGAGGGATTTTTATCTCCTCAAGCTCAAAACTGTCATTTTCTTCAGTATAATTGAGGTACCTATAAGGCATACCTTTGTTAAACAATCTCAGGCAAGAGATTGGTGGAGGTAACAATCCCTTTATCCTAGTTGAATTCCCAAAAGCCACGTACTTTCTTGCATCCACATTCATGATCTCCTCTTTCTGATCAAAGGTAGCTTCACTCATCACGTCAGAAAGATCAGTCAAGCAAGATGGTGGTGGGGAAGATGAATACGGTAATGTTGCATCTAAAGAGTTGATGGAGGATAAAGAACTCTCTTCAAGAGGAAGGTCAGAAAAGCCATCATCAACATTGGTGGTTTCATTGGTGTTTGAAAAAATTTCATAACCCCATGTTGCCGGTATGGATTGAGACCTCACGAGGGTTGGTGGGTGTGATGGGGACTTCGGCAGGTCTTTCAGGCTAGAGAAACCATTGCCTTCCATAGCTAAAATCGCAAGAAAGTTGATAAAAACAAGAAGGGAATGAAGAAGGATGGAATCACTAACAGGCAAAGGAGTGTTTCTTATAGGCACAGGAGGGGTTAACGCATGAGAGCCAAATCCTTTGCGAGAAGGGACAAAACACATGCAAAAGGACAAGAAATTGTAGTTACATTATTGATTTTTAATGTTAGCACAAACATTTACACTGGAAAAAAAACCAGCAAAACTAGTTTTGAGATGGAAAACGGTTTCAGTTTCTTTCCCTGTTGAGCCCATTGGTCCACTCCCTGCAATGTTAATTAGTGTATTACCACTATCTGTGTTTTTTTGTTTTGTAGCATTTCACACCACCAATTCCTGCATTTTAATTATTACATTACCATATAACAGTTGTTTTTATGCATAATTACCTTTTGTAGCTAACAATCACTCTTAGTTACTGTTTTATATCTATGTATTCCTTAAATCCTAAGTACGTGTTTGATGATGCGAATAAAGATTGTTTTTATCCTTAAAAAAAACATTAAATTAATGATTTTCGATATGTCTTTTTTAATAGTGTTAATTAAGAGTTAAAACAATGCAAGAAAACATCATTTTCCTTTCGAGAATATGTTCAAAATACTTTAAGAAAATCATCGAACAGTATCTACAGACTCCAGAAAAGAATTGCAGCCCATGTAATTTCTGCATTCTTAATAGATGCTGATAACAATGGTAATTAAAACTTCGCATTAAGGCCAACTAAGCACTATCATCACTGTACAAGGTAGTGATTCCAGGGTAAAAATACCTTGTAGAGAGTGGAGACAAAATTAGATAACCCACAACTCGTAGCAATTTTTTCAAACCATGGCATTAAATGATGGTGATGGACTGGTTTTTTATGCCTCTGCCAGCAACCATAACCATGAATGCAGTCAATTAGGTCTGCTTCCATTATCCATTCATGAAAATATTAAACCCTTCGACTGTAGAGGACCACATCTTAGGCCAGTGATCAATCCATGGGAGCAAAATCTTCCTCAAAACCCAGCTAGTTTTGGATCATACGGCGAAGACAATTCTTGCATTTGTTTTAATCTCTTCGAAAACATCGAGAATAAAACATGAATTTATATTTTATCTCTTCAAATCCCTATATCGAGTCAAAGTTGGACCAGCACCATGTGAGTGGCATTTACTCTTTAGGATCCAGATCCTGTATTATTCCTGCAGCTTTGTTTTCGTATCACAATTATCATGTTCTTAAGTTTTCTAAAGTTTTCCACTTGCATGGCTGCAGTAAGTAACTGAATTCAAGACTCGGCTAGTTCCTTCAAGGCGACTAGTCCCCAGCATTTTACTCATCTCTCCATATATGGGGTCCCAGTTTATTTTTATTTTTATTTTTTATCAATTGGGTTCCCAGCTTATAAAACAATTTCCAATCAAGCCCTTTTATATGGAATTATAGTAAAATTTCTTCCTAGGAACCTGTTTGGGAGTTGGCGGCTCTCCTTTTTTATTGTTTTTTTTAAATATGTTTGTTTTAAAAAATACTAAATTGATATATTTTTTAATAATTTTGATGTGTTAATGTTAAAATAAAAAATAAAAATAATTATTTTAATATATTTTTAAATAAAAAATATATTGAAAAAGTAATTTGGACCAGAAAACTAAACACGAACTAAAATACGAAATTCCCTTTAAATTGTTATTTCATTATCGTATAGATAGTTGCCTTTTTTGGAAAAATCTGAATTGGGCAATCAATTTGATTAAATCATAAGTTATGAACACAGTTGAAAATCAATCACTTTGCTTACGTTGGAGTTTCTATTTTTGTAGTAAATCCATGAACGACAGGTGGAATCCAAATCCCCATTCAAGATTCACCAGCGCTAATTTCCCTTTCCTCTTTTGACTTTCCATGTTATTTTCCCATCCTATCCATAGTTCATTCCTGTTTCTTAATCCAATCGAAAGGATAAGGAAAATTAGAAGGAACATCACTGTTCATGTAACGTGTCAGAAACCCACATACCATAGGAATCAAAGCCAGCAAACCACTCAGGGAAAACGTTTATTCAGTCCCCTAGTTTTCGATTTTATATTAGTTTGATGTTCAATATTTTTATAATCATCAATTCCCAGGGTTATGTTAATTATTGTCGAAATACACTTGCAATAGAATAAGAGGAGAATCATATCTGTCCATGATTAATATATATGTTTGTTGTTAACTGGTTTTACACCCTCTAAAAAAAAATCTACTTTTTCAAACAGTAGCGAGAGCTAAGAGACAGTAAATATAACATTAAGATAAAAGAAAATACTAACAAAGTGACCAAATTACAACAAATAAAAAAAATAGAGGAGACAAACGCACCAAACTCTGCTGAAAAAGAGAGGGAAAACCTTCCCCTCCAAGCCCCGCTCGGCATCCTTTTCTTGCTTCTACACGGAGAGTGAGAGAGGGCCTTTCTTTAACCAAAAATCCTTCTCTTAATGTCACTTTCAGTTTGTTCTTGCCTTCATCCTCAACTACTTTACTCTTCAACTCTTTCTTGTTTTTTCTAACCAGCCCATCACTTTACTCTGTTTAACTTGATCCCTTTTTTCTTGCACTTCACTCTTTTCTCTTTGTTACTGACAAAACCCACAGAAAAGAAACCAAATTTGAGTACCCATTTGTGTTTTCTTGAGAAAACCTTGAGAAAGTAACGATGGGAAATTGTTTTACAAGTTCAAAGCAATCGGTGGCAGAGTTGGCTCCTTGTGATTTCAGCAAATCAACCCCAGCCGTCCAATTATACGGTGACCCCACCAGTTCTTTCACTCTCTACCTTCATCTTGCTCTTCTTTACAAGACTAGAGCGCTTCAATTTACACCCACTAATGACCCGATTCCAGTGGTCCAATTCGGGCCTGAAACAGTTTCAGGTTCCCGAGAGATGATGGTTCGGTTCATTGATGTGAAGTTGCCGCAACCGCCGTTGATGGTGGTGGTGGAAGAGGGAGGTGAAACGGCAGCGTTGGTGGTTAAAATGGTGGCGATGCAACATAGGAGTGTGGTGTGGCATTTGGAGAGGATGGTGTGGTGGAGTGAGGATTTGGTGACACGTGGTGGGAGGAGGAATGGTGATCCGACTATGGGGAGTGCGAGGATGGAGGTGAGGAAGTTTGGGAAGAGTTATTCACAGTTGCTAGAGATCATGGTTGAGCACGCGCAGATGGAGGAGCGTGTGGTTTTTCCACTCCTCGAAACGGCTGACAGAGGTAAGGTCTCGTGTTCAAGCTACGTCCGTACACATGGTCAATGAGATATGTTCACCAGTGTCGAGAATTTATTGATTTGTTTTTAATATAATGTATTCATGCGGGGTTTTCGGAAAAAGAAATTTAATTTTTTCTTGAGACAAATTTTATTAAAATTTTCTTAATACAATTTATAATTACAGGATTCTTTTTAAAATCATTCAAAAAATAATTTAATCTTGATTGACGTGCATGCTGTTTCGGAGTACATCCTTTATCATTGAACCAACAATAAGCTTATGATCTGCAAATTGAATGTTATGATGCAGGGCTGTGTAAAGCTGCAAATGAGGAGCATGGAAGGGACCTTCCCATCATGAATGGGATCAGAGAAGACATGAAATCAATTGGAGTTCTAGACACTGGGAGCAATGACTACGGAGAGGCTCTTCGAAACCTTTCCACTCGGCTCAAATCGTTGCTGGTATAAATCTCATCACTTTTTAATTTTTGGCTTTAAGAGTCTCAGAAAATTGGCCCATCTATGCAGTGTAGTGCAAGCCAAATTTACTGCCACAACTACAAGTTCCTTGGTTTTATCAGTGCTACAGGGCTACTCAGGCTGTTATAATGTGTGTCTGTGTCTGTTTGAGATTTTTCTCGTGTTCCTTTTTCGAATAAGGTGTCTTGAGCTCTGTATATATCTTGAATAATTTGAATGATTCCATTGTGCTGATAGGAACATAGTAAAGAGCACTTCCAGGAGGAGGAGCGAGATGTATTACCATTGATGGAGGCTCTGGAACTGGGCAAAGATCAGCAACTGAGGGTATTGGAGCAATGTATTGATGTGATGCAAGGGACTCACTCGCATTTGTTGAGCTTTTATATTGAAGGTCTTCTCCCTCGAGACGCCATGCAGTACCTGGATTTGATTACAAGGTGCAAAGAGGAAAAACTCGTGGCCTCCATGCTTCGCAGGATTATTGAGTAGGGTGCAGAAGTAGCTACATTGGTATGGTACGTAGAGTGGAATGCTGGTTTTTTCTTAATGTTGATAGAGATAAAAAGAAGTCGTGTGCTCTTATATAGCTGAAGCAAAAGCTATTTGTTTTGTGGCATGTACGGCCAGTGGTGCCATTTCGAAACTGTTATTTGTAAGCAATGGAACTTTGTCATGGAATGCTAGAAAGATTACTTGGCAGAAAACACATTACAGTCAAGATTCATTTCACCGATGGACTCATTGGCATACTTCTTGCTTCTCAAACCTGTCGAATCAGAATTGCTTCACCTCATCGATTACCCGTGGCCATGGTCTGTAGAACACCTCGTCTGCAGAGTTCATTTATCCCTTTGAGAACTTATTCAGTGAGGTGGAATTTCATGTTTATGGACTTGGTAAGTCTATGATCAAACTGACTTCCAAATACCGATATCTGGTGTGATTTTGGTGAGGTGAAGGTTGATTGTTTGTTGTCTTTTAAAGGGTAGAAGGCAGGACATTTGTAATTTGCGATTGCTATACGTCTGCTTAATCTCTTATGTGTTTCGAAATAAAAAATGGTGTGACTTGATTTGATGTGAACAGCAAGAGGTATTTCTATATCTTTGATGAAGAACTTGTGGGATTCTTTTCCCCACTCGTTAATCTGGGCTTCTTTCTTTTTTTCAAAACAATATTATTTTATTAAAAAAAAACTTTTTGATATGATCGAGTTTTGTAAAATCAAGTACATCACAGACCATCTCATTAAATTATCTAAATTTAGTTAGTTAAATATCAAAACTAATTTAAATTAAAATATATCATTCAAGCCCATAATTAAAATTCACCAGATCAACCTACCATAGTATCCGGTTTTAATAAACGGTTGCAAGTGAAAATGTAACCGGTCTTCTCCAAAAGATGTAATTAGCCTCCGTTCTTAGAAAAAAGAAGAAGAAGAAACATTATTCTAACTATCTTTTCATTTTTTAGACCCAAGTCCTAGCCCAAGACTGAAACATCCTCCCTCTCAATTCTGGCGGGAGCCAAACGCCGTTGTCGGAGAAAGGGAAGTGGTTTACTTCTAGTGGCGGCTAAAGGACTTTCTCTATACATAATGGGGTCTGAATCAACTCTCCCCGAGTGGGCTCAAAGCCTTGCATTATGGGTATAGATGAAGCTGGTCGTGTTCCAGTTCTTGGCACTTTATTACTCGTACTTGTTTTGCTTCACATTTCTTTACAATCCCTTTCTGGGTTTTCTTTTCTTGTTTTCATTTGATTCTTGAAGTTTTTTTTTGGTGGGGTTAATTGTTTGTCTTTTCTCAGAACCTATGGTGTACGGATGCTTGTGCTGTGCTTGCTCATATGAGAAGACTCTCTACCCTCAACTTTGCAGGTTTTGATTTCTTCAACTTAATTTTGATCTGGGTTTTGTCTACTTTCTTGTGAAGGTTTTGTCTTTTTTTTTTTTTTTAATTAGTTCAAATTTCCTTTTGAACTGGAGCTAGAATGATGGTATGTGATGGTGGTTAATAGAATTTTTGTAAAACGTGCCATGTTTAGCCAAAAGAATATTATTTGCTTCATCTTTATATTTGAAAGTTTGGATCTTTATCAACAATGGCTATCATTAGCTGCTAGTACCCCTCAATTATGTAGACTAGAGCTTGAATAATGGAAAAGTTTTTATTTAGATTTTTATCAGAGCTTGAAAAATGGTATGCGATGCTGAATGGAATTTGGGTTGCAAAATGTTGTATTGAAGTTAAAAGAAGGATTGCATTTTAGCTTTTTTTTCGAGAGTTCGGTATTATTTTTTTTTATCAACAATAGCAATTGTAAGCTACTTGCGCCCTTTCAATACATGGCTTCAGATATGTATGGTTTTTTTTGGAAAAAAAACGATGATTCTATTTTGTTGTTTTGTTGCTTGTCGATTCAAAGACTTTAAAATAAGAGAAAAGGGAGGGGTGATTTTGAAAATCTAAAGGCTAATGAATCAATTGGATGGGCTGTTGATGTTATTGATCCGAGGGAGCTCTCGGCTAAAATGCTTAAGAAGTAAGTAGCTAATGTAATTAGATTTCTTCTGGTGTTCTTTGACTTTTTGGTAACTAAATGTTTTTCTTATCTTTTCTCTCTAGGAATAAGATAAACCTGAATGAAATATCACAGGATTCTGCTAGTGGCCTTGCGAATAGGGTGCTAAACATGGGAGTTCTTTTAACCGAGGTAAGACTTTTTCTGACTTAGAAGAGACGGGCTTTTCCCTAAAAGCATGTTTATCCAAATTCATTGTATCTCACTCTTCTCAACTAAACCTTAACATCTAATAAGATGTGTCAGTTATATAGATAATTTCCTCTATTCCTTAGAACTCATGTGCATAAGATCTTGGATAAAACATATGATTCTGTGTCAACCTTGTTTATCTGCTCTTTGACTTGCTTTGGCATCACTATCATTAAATAATGCTGCTATAGAAGTTAAAATGCTTACACGTTCACATGATTGGGTTTCAGATTTATGTGGATACAGTGGGAGATCCTGATAAATATAGAATAAAACTGTCTGAAAGTTTTCCTTTTGTCAAGTTTGTTGTTGCAAAGAAGGCTGGTAGTCTTTATCCAGTTGTGAGTGGAGCAATTATTGTTGCAAAGGTAGTGATTTCCCACCCATTTGATTCCCTTAATTTGTTCTTGCCAATATGTTTATCTTCTGTTCAACCGAGGAGGTTACAAGAGATTGGACCTTGTGAGGATGGGTACTTGATGAAACAGCTTAAAACATGGCTAGGAATTTTGGATCTGGATACCCTGGAGGTTAGCATTGCTTATTCTTCTCTTTGACGTGCAATATAACCTTCACCCTCTAAATTTTTTCTGTTTGTCTGTTGAATCTAGTTTTATTGTTGCGTGCAAATCCTGAAACTAAAGCTTGGTTGGAACAAACACGAACACTCAGTATTTGGATTCCCAACACTGTTCCGCTTCAGTTGGGGTACATGCACACCCTATTCCAAGAACATGGTTGACGTCTTGGGTCAATTATCGGTCCTTTCTTTACTTTCCCATAGCAATACCCTTCTTCTGCAGCTGCATCATTGTGCTGCGTGATGTGAGGTGCTATGTAACTCTAAAACCGAAGACAGGAACTAACTTATCTCAGCTTTTTTTAATGAGATGGGTAATATCACTTCTTTGTTCAGTCATAACTGCATCCAGGGAATGTTTTAGGGGTGAGGTCAATTTGAATGATCTATGATTATTGGGGCCTTGTTCATCCTTGGACTGGAGGAGAGTCTGAGGTTTATAGCCATACGTGTAACCTGCTAGTATAAAAGTTTGATGGACCCCCTTCAAAATAAATGTTGCTTCACAATTCCTTGCTTCTTTTTCTCTTTTGCATGAGATGCCAAAACAGGCACAAAACTTTAGTCAGTTGTCTTTGAAGGGTGCACTCCATGTTACTCGCTCATGAATATGGTCCACTTTGTAGAAAGCAGGATTGATTCTTGTATTTTCATGGGTGCCATTTGCAGTCTGAGCTGTGTGGAATTTAACAATACCTCATTTTACTGTTTTCTTTGCAATCCATTCCACAAGAAGAAAACGGTAAAGATATTGAATGTGTCATGCTTTGCTGCATTTTTCCTTTTTATTTTTAAGCAGAGAATTGGATAAATTAGTGGAAGATGGTTCTAGTAGTAGCAGTCAGAAGCGGCAACTAAAATCAAGCAGTTTTGGTGTCACAACGTCCAAGAGGAAAAGTGAGGAAACTGAATCTAGTGGTAAAAGCCGCTGCAACTTTTTCCATACTCGCAAACTTGTGCAACTTACTAATTTAGCAATGAAGTTTGGTTGCTGTTTTATTCCATACCTACAGTAACTATTGCTTACCTTCATATAAATGAATCGAAGAACTATCCCAGCATGCATCTCTTACAGAAGTTTAACTGAATATATAGTATGCAGATTCTAGAATGTAGCCTGATGGTTAAGGATGAATTTTAACCTGGAAATATCATGGGAATTTTTAAAAAGAGGCCTTCAGAAATTATGTTTTTTTAGTCGTGCATATCAACTGTTTTCTTTAAACGCAGAGGGGAGGTCTGTTTCCATTCAACTATCCAGGACTACCTCAGAGTTAGGTGAGAAACAGGCTATTTACACTTGGACTCTGACGGTGCTGGATGTTTCTGGCCCTTGAGCAGCAAACTTGGGTGTGATTGCTACACGAGCTAATTGCAAGCACATTGACTTAACATGATGTACAAAGTGCACAAACACAGACTTGTATATTACTGTAAGGCAGGCTCCAAACACAACCCGAAACTGAGTGACAAATACCATTATTTTTAGCGTAATGGGTCATTCTACACTTAGCTTAATGTACAATGAGAGCAACAAAGGTGGTTGTAATCAATGTAGGCACGATGCAGTTCACTTGGCGGCTGCCAGCATTGTGGTGGTTGTTTGGTCGGTGATTAGCTGCAGCACCTGCTATGACAACCGGGACGACTGCTCCACCTCCTTGTGCTTCGCCAGCACCATTTGCATCGTCAGCTGCCCCAGTTGCTCCACCACCATGTGCACGTCCATGAGCTGAGCCGCCATGTGCAAATTTGCTGCTGTGTACTATGCCACTTCTTTCGTTAGAATCATCGTCAATGCTACCGATGCCATGTTCATGTGTGCCTGCAGCTCCCAGATTATTCTCCTGCAAAGTATCTGTCCTGGATCTCCCTTGGCAAAAAAAAAAAAACAAAAAAAAAAGTCCACATTGAGTGAGTTAATCCAAATGAACCCATATCAACGTGTGTCATTTTGATTATTTTTTAAAAATTAAATAGAGCTTTAACTAGAATAATTAAATCATAAATTAATATGTTATGTAATTTAAAGTTAGCTTATCAATTTCTACTTAGTTTTTAAATCTAAACCGAGATAGATATGCAGTCCACCAAACCATGTTCAGCAACAATTTTTTGTGTAACTTATACGTGGCTAGCAAAAAAGATTACAAACTTCTTATTCATCGTTTGCTAATCATGATATTGTCGTGCAGGCATCGTTTCTTATTCTTACAGAGGTGAGAGTATACCAAAAACAGGAAATTTCTTATAGAGAATTTTCGAGGAAATTTCTTATAGTAAAGTTTGCACCATTTAATGTTTGATTCTATACTGCCTTGAAATTATCAAAAAGAGAGCTTTAAAAGGTGTCTGATTCTCCCTTTTTTATTTTTGTTTGTTCATGCATTTGACTAATCACTACTGCAAGATCCTTTCCTTCATTCAATTCCTAACTGATACTTCGGTTGATTGACAGAGAGGGAATTCTATAAGAATAATTTTTGAGAAAGTAGATTACTTTCTATGTTAAATTATTTGGGAAATAGTGTTTTTGGGTTATTGAATCTTTTATAAAAAAATAATAATAATGTTTTTTAAAATAATAATACCAGTTATTAATTTTTGAGAAGATAGATTACTTTTAATTCTTTACTCTATCCCGACTTGAAAGATAGATAATGTGTATATTATTTCAAAACTAAGTTCGAAAAGAATGATCTTTCTTGCTTGACTGTGGCATGAAGAAACGAGTTGAAAAGGGTTTTCCAATGTTTAAAGTTCACGATGAAAGATTAGATTACAAGATTTAACAAGG